GCGAGCACTGCGAGCATTAAACCCTGCCCCGGGGTGCATACAGGTACGGCTAGAGGCCGCAGATATACACCCAGTTCCACAGATACACAGGCACTCGTGGATACATGCCCCATCGCCATCTGCAGATGCAGGGGAAGCACACCTCTGAAGCGCCTTTGTCTTCGATTCGGTTCTGGTTGTTCATTAATGGCTGGTTGGTCGGTTAGCTTTAGCTGGTTGGCTGCATCTTGGCCCACTTGCTGCCACTTGCCACATGCAGCTTGCAACATTGCGGATTGTCATCGTTAAGACAGCCAGGCGCTTTTCGTTGCTCCTCCCCCTTGAGTTCTTATGGGATGAATTAACGATAGCCTTTCAAAATCCATCAGGGGTCTAGTTGCTTTTAATGATTTCTTGTTTAAGTTAAGATAAGTTCTTGGTTTCCTATTGGAATTTAACTAGAATCAGGGAAATGATATTTACAGATTTGAAGAGATAGTTTTATATTTTAGAAATTTATTTAGTTATATTTATCAATTAATTAATTTTAATTCATTATTTAACCATTTATTTAAAACCTTAATATTTTGGGAATACAATTTATGATTTCTAGCACGAATTTCCTTTTTAAAAGGTTCTACTTTCAGTAGGGTATATGACCGGACAACAGAAGTTCGGAAAATTAGAGGTTTAGTAACCTACAAGTTAAGCTAAACAGAGTTCATGGCAAATATATGAAAACGAATAAGCCAAACCAATAGCTAGAGTTCTATCTAAAGCGTTTTAAGCGACAAGATTTAACTAAAGGTTAACTAAAGAATTTCTGTTCAACCGCCTAAAACCGCTTTAAAAAATCTGTAAAGTGCTCTCTATATATTTTCTCGAATTTTATATTATTAATTGACTCCAGTCAATTACTTCGTATAATTTATATGGATTATAAAATAACTGGAATATCGATTATTTTAACTGTCCCATTAAAGTTAACCCTAGAATATTAGAATATAAAAAACCTAAAAGAAAGACAAGTGCCTTAACCATCAACTCATCCCCCACACTATCCCTCAATGAGATTCCGCAATTTTGTTACTTATTACAAGTTTCCAGAGTTCTTCAATAAACCCTCCTTGAGGAAAATCAATCAAAAACATTGTATAAAGAGACGAAATCCGGCAGACGCACAGGCATAACCGCAGCCTTCGGGGGGAAACTCGTCCACGGAATAAGTCCTGTGGGGACCGACAAAGGGGAGGCAATAAAAGCACCGAGGCACCGCAGAACCGGAGGCTGGAAACGAATCAATACGCGAACTACATACACTCCTCCTTGGGAGCTAGCTCAAAAGCATCGAATTCTCAAAGGCCTCGGATGGCCCCGACCGCAGATGTACGCCCCAAAAGCCCGGCGAGTCAAAGCGATTACACCGGAGCGGAGCACACAAACACCTTTTCATTTGTATCTATTAGATTAAAATTCATGTCGGCGTTTGTAGACGCGTACGAGTACGAGAGTACGCACTCCCCGCAACACGCGCTTCCAGATACTCGCACAAAGCTACATAGATACGGAAAATGGAGCTGCCAAGAGCCGTCGTCATCATTGGCCTGGCGCACACACACACGCACGCATACTAGCTCACAAACAACCTGAGCAGCCAAGCTATCTGCAAACAAGAAAAAGATACACCGCACGGGCAGGGGCAAGGGGGTACAGACGCACCGCATCCCAGAGATACACAGATACCATACGAAGCCCAGCGAAGCGAGGCGAAGCCATCAATACAAGCTGTACGACTACAGATACAGCGGCTACAAGCACGGCACACACAGCCACGACTGCGGGTACGAGTGGCAGTACGAGTACTCGCAATAAAAATGAGAAGAAAAAGATACTCGTACTCGCACTCGTACTCTGTGGCAACAAGCGAAGTACAAAGGATACAAATATATCTCGTGTTCGAAATATAAAAATCGTTAAACAAAGACTGGCGTTGTTTCTGGATTTGGATCGACTGCGACTAACGACTGCGGAGGGGTTTGGGGTCTGGGGTTTGGTGGCTGGGGCCTGGGGGTGGCTTGGAGCCAGGCACTGGCACTAGCATCATCATCTTGCCCTCCCGCTTTTGCTTGCGGCCATTTCGGTGGCAACTTTTCCCTGCTCGCCGTCTCACTCTTTCAGCTCTTTCTCTCTCTCTCTCTTAGCGCCAGTTAAAGCCCGCCTCGAAAAAGCTGGCTGGCCAATCCCCCCAGCCCCCGTCGATTTGCTCCCTTGCCCCCCTGATTCCTCCCCTGGGATGCCCTTGCCTCAGTGAAGTTGCTGCTGCGGTTGTTGCGAGTGTGTTGCTGCTACTGCCACTGCTGTTGCTGTTGCTGTTTGCTGCTTTCTGTTGTCTTCCTGCACAGAAGGCGACGGCAATTTTGTAGGCGCGCCAATGGGTTAACGTGATCTGAATTTGTTGCTCGCGAGCCAATTAATGTCGCTCCGAATTAAAAGGGAAGATACTGACGGCAGATACAGATACGGATCGGTAAAGTAACTTCAGCTGGGCTCACCCAAAATCCATTAGTGTGATATTTTTCATTTCTTTCTTAATAAGCTAGCTCTTTTGGGGAATTAAAAAACGTGTAAAAGATAAGTTTATTAAATTTAAGATCACAAAAAAGATTTACTTTAAATTCATAGGAGAAATAAAATGTTTTATAACTTATCTCAGAAAAAGGTAAATGTCTACAAGGGTTAAAAATAATGTAGGCTATGAGAAATTAATGTATTTTCGATACATTAAGATAAAAATATGTTTAAAATTGTCTTTTGTCATGGAAACAATACGGCAACTAAGGTTAGAAAATATTGTAATATTGTAATATAATTATATAATTATATAATATTGTAATATAATTATTTTAAACATTTGCAGATATCCAACTGAAATTGCGTGACTTTTTAAAAATTATTATTAAGATAATCATTAAAGCTTCATAATATAGTATAATATATTATAATATTCATTAAATATTTGTTATTTTTTATTTTTATTAAAGAATATAAATAATTTGTATTTGTATTTATTTTTTATTAAAATCTAAAAAATATTTAAATATAAATGCTTTGAATTTAAATTTTCTTTTTTTAAGTAACAATATAGAATTATTTTATACATGTATGTTTCATATTTTTAATAATATAATATTATACTTCAATATTAAATACTTAATATTTCTTCAAAATAAATTTGTTTCCAATAAGAAATAAAATATTTTTTATTAAAATTACCCAAAATCAATCAAACGTTGCCTTATTAAGTGAACAAGTAGCTAAAACGTAAGATACCAACTTTTTGTTTGTAACCAAACTACGTCGGTTTGTTGGTTAAATTTTTATATATTTTTTTGGCCCTGTCAATCCATTAATTTTCATGAAAACTTGCGCACCATCATCACAGGGATGCCGGCGGGCGGGGAAAACACCTAATAAATGACTATCGAAAAACTAATCGGTGATGTCTGGGCAATGGAAAAGGATAAAGCTGCCGTAACTTCATTTAAATGTTGTAAGAATTTGTTTACTGCGTGTGCGACACCGTGCTCGGGCCTGGAGCTGGGGACGGGGCTAGAGATGGGGCTCAGGTGTGGCCCGCGGGGGTTAAACCGCCGACAAAGTAGCTTTCGACTGCAGATACTCCTACATATGTAGCATATACAAGCCGTCCCGCTCTAGCCGTTGAGTGGCGTTTCAATTAATTAGAAAAAGTTAAAGAAACGCCAGGGCAAAAAACAAATACCTACATAATAAAATGTAAGAGAGGAGCCAGCAGCAGCGACGGCAGCAGCGCCAGCAGCTGCGGTGGAGCAGCGGCAGCAGCGCGAAAGATGCCACCAATCCAGCCAAAGCGGTCAGCAGGGGGGAGCGAGGTGCCCGGGGGGGGATGGTAATACTTTGGCCCAACCTCTTCGCGAGTCGCGTTCATGTTCATCAGGCTTTTCTTTTTTTTATTTTTTTTTTCTTCCCCCCTTGGATTTTTTGTACCATTTTTCATCGGCGGCGAAAAGCGAGAAGCAAGCGTAAACACTTTGCTTTCATACGTCGCGACGTTGCTGCTGATGTTGCTGTTGTGTTGTTTATGGCAACAACTACACGTAGCAACACCCACGGCAGCAGAAGCACAAGCAGCCCCAGCAGCAAGCAGCAGAAGCAGCAGCAAGTAGCAGCGTTGCAACAGCAGCAGCAGCGGCAGCAGCAACAACACCGCCTACAAATACATACATCGGCATTTACAACAACACGCAATAACAGCCATTTTTCTAGTTGTTAAGTTAATTTTTTCATGTTCTGCCGCTCGCTGCTGCTGCTGCTTGCTGCTGCTGCTGCTGGCTGCCGCGCTTCACAGCTGGCGCCGTCTCGCTTGCTCTCCTGCCAAAAGCCAGTGGCAACGCGGGCAGCATTGCCTGCGATTCGTGGCCGAAATGCTGTCCCGCTCTCACGCCGGCCGCAGCTGGCAGATACTTTATTTATGGTCACAACTGGCAGATACTTTTTCTGTAGCTGTAGCCGTGTCGCTCTCCCCTCCCCTCCCCTGCCCCTGCCCGTGACGCAACCGGTTGTGAGTCTCGCTTGCACTCGCAGCGGTAATAAGAGAATATAGGGGGGATATAGCCACCGATTCCAATTGCCACACACAGCCGCCTGGCAGCAGCGCCAGCCCACTTATAATGATAATCATTATTGCCGTTGTTGCCGTTCGTGTTCTCGCAGTCGTCGTCGTCTCAGTCGTCGCAGTCGTTGTCGTGCCGCCTCGTTTGCTACTTTTTCCACACAGAGCTCCAGCCCAGATACTCCCCTGCCCAGATACTCGGATACAGATACTCGACGACTGCTCAGATACGGTTCGGCCTGCTCACAGATACGAAAAGAGCAAAGAGAACGCACACATATTGTGACAAAAAACCCGTTTTCTCTCTCTCGCCATACACACACTTGGAAGCCAGAGTATCTGTGTGTGTGCCGCTGTGCGTGGGGTTGTTGTTGCTGCCGCTGCCTGGCTGCTTTGCGCTGTTTTTCGATTGTCGGTTGTCGTGTAATTCCCATTTGTCGTACACTTTGTAGTTGCCCAAGAAACTCATGTTAGTCTACTTTTGACTGTTACGCAGATTGTTCGTACCGCTCGTGTCCGCTGTTCGCTGTTCGCTGTGCGCTGTGCCGTGTGCTGTGTGTGCTGTGAATCTGTGCTCTCTGCCCGCCGCCGTCGCCACCGCTCGCCTTCGTGGTGCGAGCTGGATTCAGATACAGCCGCCGCCGCCGCAGCTCCAGTCTGAGATACGTCGCATCCTCCGGATAGCTGCGCCCGCTGCGTAAGCTCCATCTCGGTACCGATTCCGATTCCGATCCCCCTGTTCGCCAGCCGTCGGATTTCACGGATTAACGTAGTGCCCGCCCGGCGATCGAACCGAACGACACAAAAATCCTTAGCCGTCGGCAAGTGCAACCACTAAAGTGATGAAAAGATTACAAGAAATTCTTAAAACAAAATAAAAACACACACAAGAAACTCACAAAATAACTGAAATACATATAAAATAAACCCTCTAAGATATCCCTTAAACGAAACCCACATTTTATTTCCGAGTGCATCGCGCGGATCCCCACCTCGTGATCGTGGATCGTAACATTAAGATTTGCTTTATAGTTTTAGTTAAAAGCAAAAATTAATATTAAATGACAGTGCACAGTAATGAAACCGGTATCTGTTTAGTAATGGTGCGTATTCCAATTTGTTTTTCCGCAGCTATTATGCTTGGAATTTATAGCTTGTAAGATGGGTTGTGCTGTTATTAATGCCTGAGTTTGGATAGTGACAATTAGATTGCACTTGAGGGAACCCGTTTGATGGCACTACTTGTTGATCGGACGAACACATGTCCGAGTGCACAAACAGCGGGCTCTGATCTGAATCGATTTTCACGCGATTTGATTTGAGTTGGCAAACGGCAGACACGGGGTTAAAAATAAACCTCTGAAGATGTTCGGATCGATGTCTGCCAAATCCGTTGAAAATGTCAGGACCACAAGTGTGCTACATTGGCCAAAACACACGAAATGATCGCTGCCAATTCGGAAAATCCCTCGAAGCAATGTCTTTTGGTTGTTAACCAACCCAGCAAGGTCACAGAGTACGTTCCTCTTTGCAAATAGGAGAATCTTTTAGTGTTCCTGCTACTTAGATAATCTGAGATCCTTGAATAATATTCTTTTCTTGGGAAAAGGCAACCTGTGGCTTGGCCTAAAGTCTCTTAAAAATATATATTAAATACAAATACCTCAAAGCATACTCTCTAAGTAACCAAAAATAAAATATATATAGCCGCAGAAACACTGCCTGCAGTTATAGATAGTCGATAATCATCGGCGGCTGATTCAAAGAGCCAAGCGATAAGAAGGCCTACCATCCAGTGGATCCATCCAGCGGATCCATCCATCCCAGCAAACACCGGGAATTAATTTTTAATCGCATAGGGCCACTTGAGTTGTCACTCGATGAAAGCACGAGACGGGACAAGGGACCAGGGACACACTATATATACAAATATACAAATATATATATACATATATGTCTATAGCGGCGGTATCAATCACGACCGAAGATACAACATGCAGCGCTCTCTCTGTGACCGACCGGCGGCAGGCGATAAAAATCGTATCTTACGCCTCGGATCATTTGTAAAATGTTAAACGGGAAGAGGCACAGAGACCAGGGAGACCAGGAACCCGTTTGTAGTATCCACCAAGACTCCATGGCTCCCCCCCGTACCCCCATGTGCGAATGCAGGCACTGCAAGCAACTAAAAGTGTTGACAAAAGTGCGCGATAGGCTTATGTGCGCACAGGCACACACTATAGCACTATAGAGCCCCGATCCGGGCACTCATTGGACAACTTACAATCAAATTGCTCTTAGGACGTTGCCGTTGTCGTTGCGTTGCTGTTGCCGTTGCCTTTGCCTCGCTGTCGATGTTGCAGTCAGTTGTCGTCGTTGGCAGCAATCGGCTGTGTAATTTAAATCAATGTTGTCAATCGAAAACATGATTTGTTGGTAATGGCGGCCCCACTTTGAAGATCGGAAAGGGGCAACAGGGGGGTGTGGGCCTGGCACCAGAGCCCACTTTATTGACTCTGGGGACTCTGAGACCGAGCTCGGGATCCGGAGTTCTGTTCTGGGCCCTTCGGACACACTGAAGAGTCGCGCTTATCGCATTGATAAGGGGCAACGTTTTTAATTAAGTTTTAGTGCCAGCTGGTAGCGCGGTACAGTAGACCATCTATGCGGCTTTTCTCTTCTTTTTTTTTCTGTTTTTGTTATTTGTTGTTAATTTTTTATCCAAAGCAAGAAGCTGCTTTTTAATGGGCTGCCCATAAACCAAAAAGTCGTATAATCCAAATTTTGGGAAATAAATATTGAAGCAAAGGGAATTCCTTTGGGAAACGTTTTAAATTAGTTTCGTTTTTTGGTAATGGTGTTTATTAATTTTTATTTGGGATTAGGGTTAGAGGTTTAAAGGGTTTTTATTAGAGTTTTAACTCTATTTATCAACATATCAGTTGATTTAAATATAGCTTATGACCCTTTTAAGTTAAAAAATATTTTATATCTACAATAAAAGCTGGTAATCTGACACATATAACTTTAAAAGTTGCATTTCATTAAATACATATTAAATAAAAAATTTAAAAAATACATATCTATAACAAAATAAATCCTTAAATAACTCCAAATTTCCTTCCTAATCTTCCAGAATGCCGTTTCAACTCACCTTGCCACCTCGTCGCCCAACACGCCTCCAACCAACGCTCCGCAGAGTCCACCGTCGACCCTGCCCACGCTCGCCTGTCCCGCCGCCCAGCCGCTGAGTGCGCCCGGCATCTCCGGGCCCGGCCACAGTGGCATGGTGACCTCAACGGTGCCGCCGGGTGCCCGCTCCACCTCTCCGTGCGGCCCGACCGCCGGTCTGCCTGCCCTACCGCTGCCGCTTGTCGGTGGACCGCCGCCGCCAGGAGGACCCCATTCAGCGGGACCACCGGGAGGAGGAGCGCCAGGAGGAGGACCCGGTTCGGGAAACCGCTGCTGTGATACGGGTCGCACCATCTATACGGATCCGGTCAGCGGCCAGACGATCTGCTCCTGCCAGTATGACATGCTTAACTACCAGCGTTTAGCAGCCGCCGGAGGCGTGCCCCTCGGCGTCTATCCGGAGGGCATGTCCGCCTACCTCTCCGGCATTGCGGCTGATCAGCCGCCGTTCTACGCAAATCCGGTAAGTGAGCTCAGCACTTAAAAATTTTTGAAATCTGGGGAGACATTAGGCGGTACACTGAACGAAAATTATGAATTTAAATCTTGGATAATATTTGCTGAAAAATAATGGATTCTTTTATCTAAAATAGAATGAATTTGGATTTTCAAAAAAGTTTGATTCTTAATTTTTTTTAAGAAAAATATTTATACTTTTCCTTGACTTTAATATTTCTCTGTGTGCCTCGTAAAGCCTGTTCATAAGTCATATGTCCCGAACAATGGCGCAATAAATTTGTGAATTTGTCCAGTCGGAGCGGAGCGGGAGACCACCACCGAAGCTTGGGCTCAGCCTGAAGTTGAGGTTCAAGTCGCGTCGTCGTCATTTGATCGTGCCCCGCGGGTCTATGCTTCCGAACCTGCGGCGAAAAACTGGCCTACAGCGGAGCCTCGCTTGAAGCGATTTGTCAGGCTGGGGGCCACAGGTCCTATAGGTCCTACAGGTCCATGGGTACTTAGGGCCTAAGCCTATGCCTGACCTTTGGTTCGCCAGCGGCGATATTTCAAGCCACATTGTGTGTGCCGCCAAGTTGCGAAATATCGCTGGCTTAACTCCGATCTCCTCCGACTCCAGTTGAGTTGAGAGTTTTCTGAGGCGGCCAGGATCCCTGTACTGTCCGAATTTATGGACAATGGACAGGCACTGACTGCCCACCACATTCACCACGTCCACAGCATGTCCGGCGCTTGGCCGTCGGCCCTTTGTTCGCCTCGCATTGCTTCTAATAGCATCATGTAATTTGCCTTTGTTTGCCAACAATTCTATTTGGACACAATGTTCTGGGGACCACATGCGGAGCCCAAAGACTGGACACCCAGTGGTTTGAGTTTGGGTTCTGGCATGTGTTCGGTGCTCGGTTCCCGGGAAAGCCACCTAAGAATCGGAGAAACTGCCCTTGCCAGTCAATACAATGTATCGACTTAAAATGTTTAAGGACATTTAAAGGGAAAGGGAGATGTGTAATTTAATGTGTATCTTGTTTTTTAATTGTCTGGTGAGGGAAAACCATTACAAAACAGTTTTGGAAATATAATAAAATTAGCAAAGAAAAACAAAAGAAGCAGTTAAGTTCACCTTACTTAAAACATAATTAAAACAACCCAATAAAATCCATTGAAGTCTACTTAAACATTTAATTAAACTCGTGTAATTGGTTATTAACTAAAACCAGGTTTAAAGTGAATTTAATTGAATTAGAACACCATTTAAGCAATTTTAAATGGATCTAATGCATCCGGTTTTCTTAATTTAAATATAAACAACTTGTTAAATAATAAATGTAAATAAAGCAAGTGATTAAGTGAGCTTAGAGTGATTATACGAGCAGTGATTAAAAGTGTAACTAATACCAAAAGGCTCTTAGAACTCTGAGAAAAATTTAAATATCTAATATATTTCAATTTCAAAAATTCAAATTAAATACTAAGAACCATAAAAATGGTCTAGTAATTCCCCCAAACCATTCCGTGACAATTAAATTAAACACAGGTATTTACTTTAAATTAAATGTGTGCATTTGTCTTCGCTGTCGGTAGGCATTTTCCCGATTCAGCTCAGCTCCGTTCTGATTCTCCCTTGTCGAGGCCTCTTTCGCGCCCATTAAATATGATCCGATAAAATGTCGCATTCAAAAGTGAACACATAAATTTATTTGCTTACAAGCCAAAAAAGGAAAAAGTCTTGAGAGCTGCACAAGCAAAAGCAAAACCAAAAAGCACAATCACAAGAAACAGAAGCAGAAGCAGGCAACTCGAAACGCGCTGACGACTGTGAAATTGAAACTGAGAGTTTAATGAATGAGTATTTCGAATGCCGCTACTGAAGATGAAGTGAAATATATATATATATATATAAATAGGAGTCGTAGTTGTTGTGACTAAACCTAATATTCGCTGATCTGGGCAAACGCTAATGTGTGATTAAATATAATCGCCCGTCGAGTGATTTAAGTGCAATCGATGTCCGCCAATGGTGTTTCGCCTAATCAAACACAAGCCCAATAATAAAATATTCAACGCAGGGGAATTTGCATCTCAACTGGTTTCTAGTTCAGCGGGAAAAAAGGTGATAAGGAACCGGTTTGTGGTCTCCGAACTCCGGACAGTAGCCGTGCTCGTATAAGTTTAGCCATTGTCTCCAAAAACAAATTATGAAAGTGCCAGATCGGGATCGAGAGGCACTCACTATCTGGTAGATATCTACCCGCTGCTGACACGCCAATTTAGCGCGTTGGCAGGAGTACTCAAGATCACAAAACACAGTCCCTACTCTCCTCCTCATCCGGATCGATGGCAGGCGTTTAAGAGACAAGGCAGGTCGGGTCGCGGCATCTGCTAAATAAATCATCCGGGGTCGTAATTAGTCACTTCAGCCGCCGGCGCTAAACTGGAGCGATTTCTCTTCCCGAGAAGATAGATAGATATATGTGTGTTTATATGTAGATATATTGCCGTACACCGTAGTTGTAAAAGTGTCTGCTCAATGCGGTGGATTCATTACTTTGACACGAGCTGTCAAGCGGCTGTCAAGTTGCCGCAGCGCGGGAATACACTATGTCCCGCTCCCAAAAACTCACGACTCCGTCTCTTAAGTCCTACAGTTCTCCAGTTCTACGGTTCTCCGGCTCCGAAGGTGGATGATGACTTCAGTGGATGATGGTGCAACCGTCGTCGCATTTGAAGAGCGCCGCCGCTGCTAACAAATAGGCCGAACCCAGGCCGCGCCCGGTGTATTTTCCCTTCAGAGTTTTTCCCAGTTTTCCCATCTTGTTTGGGGGCGTCGACTGGCGATGCCGCCTCGTACCTTATTAATAAATTTGTCAACACGCAAGTGACAGGCTGTCAGGCTGTCCGCCCTCCAGTTCCAATTCCATTTCCATTCCTATTCCCATTCCGCTTCATTCATCCGTTTATCTGCTGATCCTTGGGTACGACCCCGGCGCATATGTTGCACTGCATCCTGCACTCGTGACACTCGAAGAAATTAATTTTGTTAATTGTAAAAGGCTGTCCCTAATTTAAAATGGGTCTTTTGTTTGGGTAGGCACTTCTGACAGGCTCAGGGAAATTGGATGAACAATTTATATAATTTCTTTAGACCAAAAATATAAATTTTTCTATAAAAACTAATGTTAAATTTAATCAAAAACAAGCTATAAAATATTTAAAATTTATTTTAAAGTCCCACAACCTCTTGAAAAAGTATGATTTTTTAAAACCCAAACAAACAATTAAGTTAAAGTTTGGCCTGTAGACACTTGCCAAGTCTAATGAGTGTCCTGCCATTTTGGACTTGAACTTTCCCTACGCGGCACAGGGACTCTGCCTGGAGCCTGTATCCTGAATCCTGCTCACACACACAGACTGGCCTCCTGAATACACAGAATAGCTGCTTTTTAGACACTTGACGCCGGGCAAGCAGCCCAGAATGGTATATTGACTTTTCCCCAGTTTAAGTGCCGCAACATCATCAACGACAACAATGCAAGCATGAAATTTCACACTCGACAACATAGTCGCCCTGGGTTTTTGGCCCCAACAAAGGACTGCTGGCTGCTAGGCTGCGGTATATGCTCATATCCTGTGGGAGCTACAAAAACTTTTCGCCCCCCCGGCAAGTTTTCTACAAAATGTAGCAGAAAGCAACTACAAATCGGACCACTCTCTCGCTTTCTCCATATACTATATGAAAAAAGGGGGGCTGAGGCCCCACTTCCGATATCACACTCTGGCCTTTTAGAGAAAACAACCCCCGAGACTCGGCTCAGCCTCCCAACATCCTTGGCTCCTTGGAACCTGGCGCTACATGCACTGATTTGTCAACTTTTGAAAATGTCGAAGTGTTGTCGTGTTGTTTTTTCGGGGGTGGCTTTTCTAATGGCAAGGTGACGGCGGCCAGGGGGTGTTTTTCCAGAGGGTGGGGCATGGGGCGGTGGGCTTTATGCCCAAGTACTAAATACATTTACTGCTCCGGCACCAATCTCATTGTTGTTGCCGTAAGTGTTGTGGAAAGTTTCTGTGTTGCTGCCGTTGTTGTTTGGCTTTTTGGCAAAGTTGAGAATGTTCGTTAACAGTAAATTTTGCACTTTTATATGTATGTATGTATATGTATGTGTTTGTGTGTATGGATGGGAGGAAAAGGAAGTGGCTGCCTTGGCACGAGAGTATTTGTGAATGGCCGTCCTGCCTACAACAAACAAATTAGCAGTCATGGCAACGCATACGAACAACGTACAAACAAACAGGGAACACGACCAACCGACCAACCGACCAACCGACCGACCAGCAACACCATCCACATCAACCTCAGAGTTGTACAACTTTATAAGCGGAGTTGTGAAAAAAAGTGTCATCGAAAGGCAGCTGGGAGCTCCAGTTTGCAAAAGGGGGAAGAATTACAAGCATACACAGGGAACATTTAAGATTATTTTATTTTTAAGAGAATATTTAACTTGTAAAGAATTGTAATTAAAAGTATTCATTCAAATTAAATTATTTCAAATTAAATCAACTTTAAATGTAAAGAAGAAATAAAATTTATATGAGCTAATTAGCACATATTAAATTTATCTACAGCATAATAAAACCAGAAAGTTTATCCATTAACATCGAAATTTATCGATTTAAAATGGATTTTTTTCTTACAAAAACAATATACTATTTTTTGGGACAAATATAACCAAATTTAATTAATTATTCGAAGTTGAATAGTCGTCTTAATGGGCTAATTTCCAAAAAGAAACTATTTCTGATCTTTTTATAAACATCTCCTACTTTTAAAAAGTACTTCAAGTACTTTATTCGCCGAATAACCATTTTTTAAAGTGTAGATTAGTGGAGCTAGGACAGAACGCATTCTTTGGCGCAACTCAAACTCCGCGCTGTCGTCAATTTCAATTTCAATTTCGATTACGATTCCGATTCCCAACTACCAAGACTCTCGGCTCTCAACTCCAATTCCAAATACGAATACGAAGACGCATCCGATTTCGATTCCGATTCCATTCATTCTTGGCTGCACAGGCGGGAATGCGGCGGGCAAACGTGCGTTTATTTTTAAATCGAAGCAGCAATTAATTAACTCGACCCGTCATTACGCGCATCGCTCAAATCGTGGCGCATCAGGGCGACAGACCACAGGAGCCGGAATCGGAGTCGGACTACTCCGTCTCCTCCAGCTCCTCCTCCTCCTCGATATAGTCGTAATCCCAAGGCATTGACGTTTGGCGTGAAGGGAACACAGTCGCAGAATTTCCTTGGTAATGAAGACAAAGACCCATTTTAATTTGAATTATTTAATTTGCCCGCAGACGGAGGAGAGGGTAGCCCGGTCAAACCGCACTTCCCGATGCGTGAAACGACGCACTCCGATTGTCGGGTATGGTTGGGATCCAACGGATCAGACAACATCCCAACAACCACTTGGAGTGTTCTTGTGGCCAGCCGCCAGTGGTCAGTCATTCATGTTGTTCTCTCCCGGGAGGGGGCAAGTTTCTCGGGCTTTATTATAAACACAAGTTGCCTGGCCAAATATTAGTTTTGTGAGGGAAAAAGATTAATGGGAAATGGAAGACCAGGCGAAGGCATGGGGAGTATATCCAGCGTGTTTTATAATTCCATTATTATTCGAGATCTGCAGTTTCTTCTTGATTATTAATATGGTAACTAGTGTATCTTCTACAGGTTCAAATTTATTGTGAGCTCTTTTTTTATTTATACAGTTAATAACTAATATTTATTATGATTTAATTTTTTGAAGGATTTTTAAAAACACAATTTCACGGTTCTATAATATATTTTAAGTAATTTCCAACTGCAATGATTCATCTTTAAACAAACAGATGATGAACTGCGATGAATCACCTTGTAATATTTAAAGAGAAAAATGAGTTTTTGGTTCAACTATAACTTAGCTACTGCTTGGATTTCAAGGTTTAATTTTATTGCTTAGTAAGAAAGACATTTCAGACATTCAAAAATGCCTTTAAAATTTCTTCAAAACCTTAAAATGATTTAATTTTGTTAAATATTCCCCATCATTGATATGCCCAGCCAAAAATCTCCCTCTTCCGTGCACTGATGGTGGTCAGATTTGGGCATTTAAGGCACAAACACACCTGGTACAAGCCGAAACTACAAACATTTTGCAAATGCATAAACATTGTTGCGGAAGAACAAGCTATCGGCAATATGCGATCTGCGCTACAGCGCTTTTTACAATTGCAGTTGTCGTCGCCAGTGGTAATGCAATATTTAACTCGAAAAAAAACGAGTTGCAGTTGCTGCTGCAACATCAACAGTTGCTGCTGCTGCTGCTGTTGCTGTTGCTGCCGCATCGCTGCATTGGTAATAATAAACGCAGACGCAAACATGTCGAATGTTGTTAATATTAACCACCGCCAGCGCAAATCCCGGCCGGCACGGGTGCGTTTTTGCGTCCAAAAGGCAGACTCCCGACTCTCGAGGCAATAGCAACCAGCTACTGTTGCTCAGTGGATATATAGTAGATACTACCCGGCTTGGTAGCCGGCTACAATTTATTATATGCGCTTTACCCGCATCGACATGGCCTACACGCACTCGCTGCCAAACACGCACGAGACAGATTCGGTGTACGGGATGGGATGGGATGGGATGGGATGTGAGGATCCCCCATTCCCATTCCCACTGCCATCCTCGACTTTTGGCCAATTCCCGTGATAGCCGGGCGTGATTATTGTAAGGTTGTAAAACGTAAACTGGTTTCGGTCTCGGTTCAGTTCAGCAAGGTTCGGTTCGAGCTTCCATTGAGAAATAGGAGCAGCCCGTGTAATTTAATATAGTCTGTCCCAAAACGCTGTCCATGTTCGGCTAACTGACTTCTGCAATCGCTCGGAGACGCAGTCTGTACGATGCACTTGGAAAAATATATATTGCTAAAAGGAAGAATATTTAAAAGAAAAGATTATACATGGTAAAGTAAAAATCACAGTAAAAATATCAAGTAATTCCATTTAATAAATATTAATTAAAAAGAAAAGTTGATTTAATGATCACTTTAACGACATTCAAAAAGAGTACATTATATTCAGTTTTATTATAAAATAAGATTAAAAAGCAAGATATTTACGTTTATAGGCATCAAATGAAAAAATTCCATAGTTTCTGGAAAAGAATAAAACTTAATCTCATTAAATTTTTAAAATATTCGCTTTTTAACTAAACTTTATTTCCAGTTCCAGGAACTGAAGCATATTTTAGTCTGTAATCTGTACTTATACTTAAATGAATTTGCAAGAATATTTTTTTAACATTTAACCTGTTTTTTTGAGTCAGTTTGATTTTGGGAAAACTAGTAGATTAAAAATCTTTTTTAGGAATTTTTGTTAAGGGATTTTCTTACTAGTTTAACATATAAATACTTTTTTGCTAAGTGCCAAACCTGTCAAAGGGCCTTGGCCCTGGAGTTAACCTGGCCCCGAAAGATCTGTGGCTGTTGCCTTTGCTGTTTATCAGTCTATCGCCGCTGTACTCGCACTCACCACATGCTGCGCCAACGAGTGGCAGGAGAGGAGACCTCTTGGCCAGACCGAGACCCAGACCCGAACCCGAACAGAGTCCCAATACCGATGCCAGACTCACTCCTACTCCGCATCGATGGCCGGCGATAGCGATGTTGCAACATCAACGGCAACATTTTCGTGTTGGCGACATAAAAATATTTCCGCTTTGCCGCAATCCACAGCAATTTCTGTCCAGACGCTCGTCGCGACAGCGAAACAATAGATTTCGACTGGATTTCGGGACCTGCATCCGAGTGCGAGCATCCTGCTGCAGCACTCCTGCACTCCTGCACTCTTGCACTCGTCCTGCGGTGCCATGTAGATCCGTATCGGGCTCGTTCTCATTGATTCCGCATCTTGTTTTCGTACCCCCGCTGTTTCTGGCTGGACAATATGTTTGTGTCATAACTGCGGAGGCGGGTCGTGCCTCAGGTGACGAATATGCGTCCGACTTTGACTATTCAGTGCGATTATATTATATAGAATATATACTAGAGGCAGCTGCCTCTGTCGCTCCGCCATTATCGGAGCCCCCGAACAGCTGGCAAATGTCGCAGCGAATCGAGACAAGACGCGGAGATAATTGTCGTGTTAAACTTAATCGGCGTTCTATATTACACGCCTGTTGTCCCACGCCTATCAGTGCCAAAGTCTGTGTTCCTAAATGTTTTCTGTGATTCCAATCGTTGGGCCTAATGGCACTACTATATATGCTTGTTCCAGCGTGGCGATTAAGTAGACAATCTGGGAGACTGAATGCGAGCGGAGAGTAGATCTACCAGCTCTTAAAGTCACTGCCAGGCGTCACGACTTGTCCACATGTTCCACTGATGCTGGTCAGATTGTTGCCGGGCTTATCACTTGTACATTGACACAAAAATATATTTTAATTTAGTGGTAATACTAGGAATTCTTCAGTATCTAATGGGTATTTGTGTTAACGAACTTAATGGGAAATGGTTTCTGGTTCTGGGGAAATTTTAAAAGCACAACAAATATTTTATATATTTTTAGAAAACTTTTTTATATAGTTGAAAAATTACAATTCCACTGTGCTTTGTTTTTTCCTGATAACACTTGCCCCATCTCAAGCCATCCATCCATCCAAAAATAAACACAAATATGTCTTAATGAATTTGTTTAACATGATTTTTAATAATTTTGGTTCAAGGTCCCGCGGGTTCAAGCTGCGGGAATTAGTCTAAAATTATATTTTTTTGACAAAAATATTTATGCTGTGTGTCTCTTTGTATTTTCCAGGCTGGAATCGATCTGAAGGAGAACCTGGTGGCCGGAGCCTCCCCCTGGCCATATCCCTCGATGTATCATCCCTACGATGCGGCCTTTGCCGGCTATCCGTTCAACAGGTGAGGATTAGTCACAATAGTATCTGATGGATACTTCCCCACATAGCGCTATATAAACTCCATAAACTCGGATGGTGGTCCGCGTCGAAAGGCGTCGATCGGAACGTGAGTGGGAATTGGGATTGGGACTCGGATTGAGGTGCTGCAGGTGCGTGCAGGTGCATTTTAAATGACGGCGCGGAAAAGTGCGTTCGAATAGTAAAAGTCCGGCGCATATTGGCACGCAGGCGCAGCGGCATTCGGCACTTCGGCACTCCGATACTCACTTTGTCGAGTTTCCCCATTTATTCGCTTGTAATTGATCGTTTGCACGTCGGCGGGTGGGTTGCTTCCGCCGATCGAAACGAAATGAAACGCAGCGGCAGGGCAAGGCAAGGCAACGCACCTCCGAAACCTAAAAAACCACAAACATGCTGCATTGAAGTGACATAAATTTCCAAACACAATTGCCAGTTAAACAATCGACAATCGACAACATCCCGTCACGTCATTTTCACCTCACCTCACGTTCGGACAGGTACATCGGCGGGCCCATTGTTTCCCCTGTAATTGACACTCATAACAAAATTTGATAGTTGACTCATGCAGCTACTGTTGGAGTCGTCGATGTCGATGATATATCGCAGTTGTTGTCTATCTTGGCCATACCATATTCGCCATAAATCAATTTTGAGTTATTTCGCCGTGACGTGCTGGCGGTTTGGCGAATTCGAATTCGAAATTCAAAATTCAGCGGGAATACGCGCGCGAGAGAGACCCCACCTTTAAATTGGAGGAAACCTGGGACCTGAGCACTTGGGGGCGTTGTTGTCGTCACCAATCATTTACAGCGCTGATAGGAAAATTAAAAAAATGTATTCAGCTGTCAGGTGATCAAAGGCAGAGTGCCTGTCTGCGCAGGTGTTTCGCACTCGGCGACACTTTGCATTCAAACTTAAATTAATTAATGCATCGCACAGAGCAGAGCAGCAGCAGCACCAGCAATCCCTCTGTATATCGCTTCATATATGTAGTATGTGTATGTATTTACTGTGGCTATAGCTATAGCTGCTTTAGCATCCAGTTGACATCGTTGTCATCCTCTCTGTTCGGATCGGGCAGCTGTCTGAGAACTACAAATGAGACAGCTACACATGTATGCAATGGCACTGTATCTGTTTCTGTTTCTCTTGCTCCCCCGTGTTGCTGTTTTGCATTTTGCACACTGGGGGAAATTAGAAGGAGGTTGTGCATATTTTCTTATAAATTGAATTGAGAGAGAGAGCTCGTTTCTAGGCAAATCAATTCGATTATTTAATCAAATATTTAGAAATATATTTTAAACAGGATAACATTTGAAAACAAAGAGCCACAAAAATAACTTGAGAATTATAAAAGTTAAAGATATCAGTAAATAGCTTAAATGGCTACATAAGAACTATTTTAAAGTTTCAAGAACTAATGTCAATTCATTCAAATACTTAATCAAATGTTCAGAGAAAACAATCATAAAAGAAAAGGCTTCCTAAAAATGACCAGATAATTTAAAAGACTATTAAAGTTCTGTATTTGAAAGACACAAAAAAATGACTTGAGAATTATAATGATCCTGGAATATACAGGATTAAATTGATTCTATTATATTTATTAGAAAATGTATATCCATATTTGAATCTCTTTTAATATCTTATCTGCTCTGTCACTGTATTTCCTTGTTCTACTTGAGGAAATATTTTTTTTAATTTAAAGAAATTCTTGTAGCAATTATCCCCAGTGTATTTAAGTATTCCCGGACATATGTATATGCGCTCGCCGCGATGTATATACACTCAATATACTAAAAACGTTCATGTTAACTGCCCACAAAAAGCGATAAAGGACAGTTGTTGTCCACGGCGGCATGCGGCAACATTCGACCATCGACCATCGATTCCCATTGTGGATGGAGTCGACCGGGGACAGTGGGATGGGTAGCAATGTGTCAGACCGCAAACTGCACGGGCATAAATGTTCATCGGGGCCCATGCAAATGCGTTTATGATGAACAAATTTAACGCACAAACAAAGCCCAGCCCGCCCAGCGTCCCTTTTGGCCAGTTTAACAAATTGCAACAATTGTTTGGGCCCCGGCCTGGCGCATATTTAAGCAGGAACTCCAAACGACCTGGCAACAGCTGGGCCTGCATTCCACTCGGGCCTTAATCACCTGCTGGCAATTCGAGGAATGGTCGGTCGTTGGTCGGTCCGACGGTCGTCCTTATCGCAAACTCTGACTTTAACCCCGTCTAACTAAGAATTCCTTTTCTTGTTTTTTGCAGCTACGGCATGGATTTGAACGGAGCCCGGCGGAAGAACGCCACCCGCGAGACCACATCCACGCTGAAGGCCTGGCTGAATGAGCACAAGAAGAACCCGTATCCGACCAAGGGCGAGAAGATAATGCTGGCCATTATCACCAAGATGACGCTGACGCAGGTGTCCACGTGGTTCGCCAACGCGAGAAGAAGACTGAAAAAGGAGAACAAAATGACCTGGGAGCCCAGGAACCGTGTCGATGACGATGATGCCAATATCGACGATGATGATGACAAGAACACGGAGGATAATGATCTGTTAGGTAAGAGAATAACACTATTTTTACTGAATCCTATTTTAAACATATTTTTAAAAGTAAAATTCTTATATTAATGTTAAAAAAGATCAAAGAGAGAAACTAAATTCTTATTAAATACTTCTTAATATATTTTCTACTCTTCCTAATTTTATACTAACTTCATCCCTTTACTTTTCTTCTCCCCTTACAGATGCCAAGGACTCTGGTGTGGGCTCCACGGACGACAAGGACCGCAGCGGTCGTCTTGGCGACATGCTGGCCGACCGACCCGGCGAGAGCAACAACAGTGAATGGTCCGAGTCCCGCCCGGGTTCGCCCAACGGCTCCCCAGATCTGTACGACCGACCTGGTAGCATGCCACCCGGCGCCCATCCGCTCTTCCATCCCGCCGCCCTGCACCATCACTTCCGGCCACCGGCGGGCTCGCCCCCCGACATTGCCGCCTACCATCACCACCAGCAGCAGCTGCTGCAGCAGCACCAGCAGGCGCAGCAGAATTCCCTGCAGACGGCGGTGGGCGGAACGGCCAAGCCCAGGATCTGGTCACTCGCAGACATGGCCTCCAAGGACAGCAAGGAGTCAAGCTCGGGGGCCAAGGATAACCTCGCGGCGGAACTGCCGCCCACGCATCCCGGCTTCTATGGACATCCTGGCCAGCAGCCGTCGCCGGGCAAGATTCTGTCGCCGCTGGCGGCAAGGATACCCAACTACTCGCCCTATGTCCGCCCGGATCTGTATCGGGGATTCTATGGACCGGCGGCCGCGCACCTGAGCGCTCCGACGCAGGAGTTCCTGGAACATCAGCGCAGCTTCGGGGCCAGTCTGGCAGCGCACAACGGACCGCTGGGCATGAATCCGCTGCTGTGGAAGGCGGCAGTATCGGGAGCCGCCAATGGACCGCACTTTGCACCGCTTAGTCTGACCACCTCGGGTGGGGGTGGAGCAAGTGGGGCCCAACATCAGGTGGCGCCACCGCCAGTGGCCTCACCCTCCGCCTCCAGTTCGTCCTCGTCCATGGGCTGCGACGTGGTGCACATACCGACAAGCAGCGGCCAGTCGGCGGCACAGCACATGATGGGACCAATATCCAGCAACTCCACCGCCTCGTCCTCGTCCTCGCACTCTGGCAAGATATCGCCCGGCGTCAATGTGACCTCGCTGAGTGCAAAGCCATGACATCCATCGGCATCTCCGGATCCTGAGACGACGGCGCCATCGGTTGCCTCGCCCATCTCCGCCTTCCGCTCGCTGATCGCCTTCCGGGAGCAGCAGAAGCTGACGCTCCTGCGGCCGTAATCCGATTCCAGATCCAGTTTCGATTCCGATTCCTAATCCGACTTCGATGCCCGGGCTTGAAAGGTATAATAACACTTTCGGACAATAATTTACAATGTGATTATTCGGTATTTTGATTAACGCCGCTTATACCAAATAGCAAGCAAAACCAGCTGAAACGCAGCGGTTCCCTTGGCATGGGCCCCCAAAAAAGAAAATATATACGAAAAACACTGAGAGAAAATATAAGAATTGAAATAATGAAACGTAAACGTAAAGATTGGAACACCCAACAACAACCGCTGCTGCCCCAGAGACGTTGTGCAATTTTGTGGAGAAGAAGATAATCCAAAAACCATTTGAAGATATGTACGTTAATTTAATTACTTACAACTTATGCAATCAGAGCTTATAGGATGTAAATTGGAAGATATATAGAGCAGGGGCGACATCAATGAATACAATACAATGCATATACCCGACCACTAACACGTATATAGCCGATATAAGGCGGCAGATCCGAGAGAGAAACCCACTAAATTGTAGAGCACACTTCCTTGGCGGCCAGGTCTTCTCGTCTCTCTCCCTTCCTATATCTCCCACTCACCTGTGTAGATCCGTACGGATCCTGTATGGTTTTCTTCAAGTTTGAGTTCACAGCCAGGCGGAACTTTACCCGAGAAACATATCAACCCCGAAGTCTGCTGAAAAAGAAACCCCTTAACCCCAAGCCCGAACCCAAGCCAAATGTACACGAGCAATCATTGATTTAGCTGTTATTGTTTTTATCGTCTTAAGTTACCAATTTGTTCCTGTCGTTTATAAATTTAATTTATTTTACTTCGTATGTACCATAACTTCCCTCGATGTGCGTGTAATTATTTCCTAAACTAGAGATCCGTGTATTCGCTGTACTTTATGCACAAGTTGTAAGTATGTGTAAGCTCGCGTAACTGTAGCGCCCTAAGCGTAGTGTAAATTAGTAAAACTGTATATACTTATAATAAAAAGAACGATAATGAGACACATTAAACAAAAGCCACAATTATTGGTATAAATAAAACAAAAAAAGTGTTTAATTATTTGAAATTGTGGGAATTTTTTCTTGGATTTCAGGTATCTTTTTTTTCCTCTGACGTCTAGACCAAGTTTAATGGAACAGCTAACCAACTTACCAGTTTCTTTTTTGGTTTAATTTTTTTATAAATCCACAATGAAAATAAACAAACCTAAACAAAAATATGAATTAACCATTAACCAAAAAATAAAATACTTTTGATGAGCTTCGTATGTTTGTTGCTGCCACCAATGTCCAAGAACTGTATGAAAATATCCCAAAAACACACACAAAAAAGAAGAAAATTAAAAACCGCTAACAACAGCTATTAAGAATTAAGCAAAGACAAAAACAAAAAGGTGTTAATAAATTGGAACACATATGAAAAACCGTCGCGACACTCTCCGTCCGTCTCATTTCCTTTCCCGTAAGTATAATGCCAGTATTTATTTATTTTTATTGGTTAATCATAGACAGTCCCCCCCATGCGGTGATTTAAGGGCTTGTGGCGGTGGTGTACGAAACGACAGAAGAAACAAAAACAATATTTTGCTATAAACGTGTTTTCCTGTGTCGCTGACCGGAAACGCATTCGCCGACATAAACAGAACAAGAGCAAAGTGAGCAGAAAACTTATGAATGGAGGTAACAAAAGGCGGTATATATGGCCAAGAGAGAGTGGAGGGGAGTGGGGGTAAACGAGGGAGTGGACTGGAGGGAGCCAGGGGTTAATAAACCCCACAAGTTATTTATGGTCTTCCATTATCGACTATCGCCGCTTGATTTGCAGCGGCTCATCCATGGTTAAGTGCGATTTCGCTCAAGGAGATGTGGTGGGGTATCCTTTTGATATGGTCAAGGGGAATTACAATCGAGATATAATATGTTTTATATGGCTTTTGTACAAATAAAGCAATATTCTTAGCTATTTTTTTGTAGATATTCATTTAATACCTTATATATTTTAATAATGAATAGTTAATGTCTCGTAAATGATTTAAATGAATAGTTTATAGTGTAAAGCATGACCCCTGTTCAAACATGAACACGGTTTTAGATAAGAAGCATCTGTTAGCGATTAAGTCTCAGCAGCAGAGCACGGCCTAGCACTTGTATGTGCATATCTATCTATTAATACAACCGCCACTTGAGCCTATATAACAAGTAACCCGAAATATGACCTCCTGCGAGCGGTCTGGGTTTGTTTAAGATATGTTCTTTCGGGGTGACTGTTTGCACCCTTATCGTACTTTAAATATTTCTCACGATCGGGAACTGTCCGATGCGTGGGTCTAGAACTAAGATCTACAATGTACATTCTCATGTTAGCTATATAAGCTAGGGTTTGAATGGAATAAAATCAGTTTCTTACAAAAACTCAACACATGAAGACTTCTCATTTATTTTGGAGCTCTTTCATTTTGGTCAATCGAGCCTTCGGAGCATTTTTGCTTCGACAACTCTGCAGTTTCCCCCTCTATGGTAAGGGACTCAGAGTGAGGCCAGCTCCTTCAAGCGAAGCAAGTAACACTTGTAGCTAAAAGGTAGCAAAATAATTAACTCTTGTTTCCCCCACCCGTGGTAAGGAACAGAGTATAAAATAAAAACAAAAAGACACAAAAGAGTCTTTTATGTTTTAAAAACATGCACCATGTAGGTTGCTGTAATACCATGAAAAAAATGGTAAGGCGTGCTGGAGCCAATAATATCAGTAGAAAATGTGCTTAAAGAAAATGTAAAAAGTGCATAAAATTATGTTATGGTATTTGAAATGGCCAACATATACCATATATATGCAAAAGGATAAAAAAAGAGTCCTTCTTGTTAAAAAAAAAAAGTGGTCGAGAAATCGACAAAATTAAAAAATAAATATAACAAATATTTATTGTGGGCGTTTTTTCGAGGCCTAAAACATCGAAAAGTCGCGGTAGTGAAAAAAAAAAAAAAAAAAAACCTATCGTGACAAAATTTAAAAAAAAAAAAAACACAATAATAAAAAAGTTTTTGGTGGTCGTGAAAACGATAATTCAAAAGGTCAAAAAAGAGTCCCTTTTGTTTTTAAACAAAAAAATTTTTTCCAACTCCATTGGTTGGTTTTTTAAAATTAAAGGACAATAAGAGTCCTTATTAATATTTTTTTTCCAACTCCATTGGTTGGTTTTTTTGTAAATGCCAGATATGGCAACCAGAAAATAGGAATAAAACAATTTTCTGGGGTTGAGAAATCGACTATGATATTGTGTGGAAGTTACCCAGCCCTTGACGGAGAAAAAGTAGAAGGAGGGACGACCTCACGGCAGCAACTACAAATAAGTCTGCAACAACAACGACGGCCGCAGCGACGATACAGAAACAGGCGGCATCAGGAAATCATCCTACAACAAACAACGGCGGCAGCGACGACAGCAGCAGCAAAAACAACAACATCAAAATTAAAGACGACGGCGGCGCGGCAGAAGCGGAAAAAGCAGCAGCTAAGTCGACTTAATTAAAATTCTTTTTTTAATATAATAATTTTTTGGTTAAAAAAAAAAGGATCAGGAGTTGCTTAATGCAATATTCCCCCGGCAGGACCTCACTTCGGAGGTATTTATAAAGCTGGAGTTAAAGTCATAAAGTCAGTTTCAATACCAATTGTTTAATATAAAGGAAATTCAAAAATAATAGAAAAAAGAAATACAAGCGGATAAACAAATTTTGATGAATTAAAAATTAAAAGTTAAAAAGAAATAAAATTGTACATGTATTAAGCCATGATACGGAGGGCTTTGTAAAATATTAGTTGCAAAATTAATTATATCGAATGAAACAAAATAAATACAGTCCACTTAATTTTAATTGCAACTAATTTAAATGTACCCCGAATCTTGCTGGCCCTTGGCAGAATGTTCAAACATGAACACGGTTTTAGATAAGAAGCATCTGTTAGCGATTAAGTCTCAGCAGCAGAGCACGGCCTAGCACTTGTATGTGCATATCTATCTATTAATACAACCGCCACTTGAGCCTATATAACAAGTAACCCGAAATATGACCTCCTGCGAGCGGTCTGGGTTTGTTTAAGATATGTTCTTTCGGGGTGACTGTTTGCACCCTTATCGTACTTTAAATATTTCTCACGATCGGGAACTGTCCGATGCGTGGGTCTAGAACTAAGATCTACAATGTACATTCTCATGTTAGCTATATAAGCTAGGGTTTGAATGGAATAAAATCAGTTTCTTACAAAAACTCAACACATGAAGACTTCTAATTTTTTTGGGGTTTTCAACCCCCGTCAAAAGGCGAAGGACGGCAAAGGAAAGGAGTATTCCAGCGATATACTGCTCTCTTGGCCTGGGTTCTGAATCTGGGCGACTTTATCCCGTGTGTTCAGCGTGTCTTGTAGTGTGTCCGGCTGGGCGGTATGTCCTGTATACCTGCCTGCCCCTTCGCTCCTCCGCCTTGTGTGTTTGTTTATGTTCCATATGAAGCCTTCCTTTTAATCGGAAGTCTCCTTCCCACCGTCAGCAGAGGCAGCGGCAATGGCAACCTCCTCGAAGTTATCCACCAGATCGGGCACATCATCATCCCCGTCATCGGCAGCAGCGGAACAAGCAGCGCCTCCTGCCGAGCTCTTATTAACGATCTCCGTGGCTAGCTGCTTTAGCTGATTGATGTCCTGGGATCCCAGTTGCGCCAGGATGCTGGGCATCAGCTCCGCAATAGTCTTCCGATCACCGTGGCCCGTGATGGCAAACGTGTTTGCCGGCAAAGAGGCCTGCAGATTCGGGTTGTTGAAGTGGATGACGGTGCCATCGTTCTTAATGATGTTGACCTCCTCGATGCCGGCGATTGGCTTTACCGAAAGCTTCTTCAGCGACAACTGCAACTTCTTGTCGTCGGTGGCGGACGTGGAATGGACGATCTTCTTCTTGCGACGGGGAGTGCCCTTGCCGCCAATGCGCACCTGCTCCTCTAACTTCTTTAACTTTTCCGGATTCATTTTGATTTAAATATAATTTAGCACAAAATCTAGCCTGAAAATATATGCGACCAGTTGAGGGAAAAGTCTAAGCACATACTCAAATCTAGAACTGCTAGAAATCGATGAAATTATTTACTTTTCACTTTTTAAAGTCAAGAGAAAACAACTAAAAACCTGCCTCATAAAGCCATAAAATAAATTACCTCTTCCGAAAGCGCTCAGACAAGATCACTTTATTTTGTATTTTTCTCAGCAAACCCAAATAAAAACCCAAACCAATTCCGAAAAACTACATTCCTGGCTTTGGCCTGCAGTCGAATCGTCTGACTTTTGGCTCCCGTGAAGGCCGTTTTTACAGATCTAACTCAATACAAGTAGCGTAATCCGGGGTATTGAATAGGAAAAAACCAGTAGCACACAAAGGCGGAGCCCGAATTTTAAGCTGACATCTGTTTTTATGGACCAGAGATTATTAATTCACGCGCCCAGCGCTTTGTTACTGCATTGTCGTCGCATCGCACAAAAGGCCTCCATCCTCATCTCCATCTCGATCGCGATCGAAAAGCATCAAATCCATATTGTCAGCGCCGTTAAGACTCAATCGCCATTGGAAATTGGAACGGATTTTGGTTGTCAGCTTAAATCAATCGTGTATCTTCTTATAGTTTTCAGAGGCGGAATGATTTAATTATTGTAGAGCGGCAAGCGTAATTTCCATCACAAAACACACACAACTTTCTTCTGCCCAACAAATTGTTTATTCTCTGAGCCCGACTTAGGGAAATTCCAATATTATGGCTCCATTCGAGCCACGGATCCCTAATCGGTTTACAGCATTCTCAAAGCCCCCGATCAATGGGCGGACCCACGTTTCTTTATTGAGAAACTGTCGACATTCGAAAAGTCATGGCTTTTATGCTTGGCCAGCTTAAGCGTGTTTTCTATTGTTAACCCAAAATTGTTTAAACTTACACTGGTCACAGGAATTAAGTATTATCAGGTTGTTGGAAAATATTTTAATGATGATTTTTAAGTTAAAAAGAAATAAATAAGAACCTTTACAGTCAGGAGTCAGGACTCCGTCTCACCTTTATATCATCATAAATATTATTATTTACCAGACTTCAAAAATAATTTATGTTGAGTGACCGAACACCCTCTGAAGCATCCGATGAAACCCTGATATTTTCCAAGTGAAATCCACAATTATGCTAATTCCGGCAGACACACTTAAAAACACAAGAACATGTGTTTCGAGCATTTAGCACATTGCGTCTCTACCTTTACCTTGCTCTGCAGATACTGCTCCTCGTATCTGGATATCCGAGTCTCCGCCTGATCCGAGAGTGGAGTGGCCTGAGCTGGCAAACAAATAAAATGATAATAACATGTTATTATGCAGACAACGATCACACTGGAACCTAAAACAATGATGGGACTAAAACAGAGTGCAGCAGACGGCTGTTCGGGCCATTTCCAGTCGATAGGTGATGTGCAGCTTTCGCGGAGAAGAAGTAAAACCCACATTTCCGCATTTAACCATGTGGAACTGCGACTGCGACTCAAAAACATGTCCCGGTCCCTCAGCCAGAGACAGTTCATTGTTTTTCGGAATTAAATTTGCCAAACATCTCCATCAAATGGTATAAGAAGCCTCGTCTTGCCGCACTTTGGTTCCCTTGTCTCTCCAGAAGAGAGTGATAAATAAATTAGCCAAGCCAAACGAAGGAATAACTAATTTTAGGTCAGGAAAAACAATTAGTAGCCGAGGTGCTGAGATGATTTATCTCCTCGGCAAGCGGATAACTACAAAGTAGTTTTATCAGGAAGTCGTATTTGTATTACATGGGGGAAACCGTACCGAGTTTGTCACCTTTTGCGGCATGTTAATTATAATGCACTCTTTCAACAATTATTTCGTTAATGCTGTCACAAATATTGTGACACGTGGCCATAGCCCAGCACTTGAGCAGCGGCCTCCCTTTGATTTTAACTGTATTTTTGCAGAAAATTAAGAGATCAAAGCGTTTCCTGACATATGCAAGCTCTGCTCTTGTTTACCTCAGATACATTCACACATGTGTATCTAGAGGATATGCCGGCATGCTCAGAGCACTAATACACGAGTATATGTATGAAAATTCACTTGGATAGGGGCTGCAAAATATGAAGAGGCCGAAAAATATGGAAATAAAAATAATATGGACAAAATGGGGTTACTTTTAATTATTATTAAAAGTAATAAACAGGGAGAGAGACTATACTTATTTTCTTTATTTCTTAAGTAACATTGATAGATTCAATAATTAAAATAGAAGTAACTTCATTTAAGAATCAATTTAAAGCAAAAAAAAACTTGGTTAAGTTATAAATAAATTCTTAACTACTATATTTTCTCCGAGTGCCTTCATAAAAACCCCTACAACATTTCCTCAGAACTTGGACAAAATGTTCCATAGTACCGCCTCCACGGGATAGGTGTAACTGGGATTCACCCAGCAACTCGGGAGGGGCAGACCAAGTAGAGTCGATCGCCTGATCGTCTGAACAACATGAGCTCTTGTTTACTCGCATGTGGGTGGAGTGCTTTAGGTTGGGGGGCTAGCAAGGAGTCTCAGCCCAAGTCCAGTCTGAGCCCAGTTTCCAGGTTCATTCAACGACTGCCACATTTCAATGGCAAAGCTGAGATCCCTGTCGCAGATACCACAATTCGGATGTTCCTTATTGCATGTCGTGATTGCGTCAGCTTGTCTCCGGTGCCCGGAGCTCCTGCTCCACCGGCGAATGCGAGAAATTAAGCGGCAACCAATCATTGTTGTGTATAATGCCCAGAGAGACGAGTACCGAGAGTGTTCAAATTGAAAAGTTGTAAATTATCGGAGCACCACCATCAAAATCGAATCATTCCAATTAAATTTGAATCCAAAGTGTTGACGTCCCATTGGCAGTCATGAAATGTTTCCCTTTTTGGTTCCTTTAACTTTTGGGTTTAAGTTTTCTTGGGGATTTGAGTAATTTTTTGCTTAATAAAGAGGCTAACAGGTTAGTCTCTAATAGAGACTCTCTATCTCTTTTCTTAATGTTTAAATAATCTCAAATATAAACCAAAATCTACCCAAAAAAGCTGGCTGGATTCCCCTGTTTGCATCAAGTTAATTGAAAGCCACCTTTTGCGGTTTGATTAGGCCATGTTCGGAGGAACACTCTCGTCTTTCTCGACGCGATAGTTGGGATAGCAAATTGTTTTACGCTCCAATAAGTGGTACATGCGGCTACAAGTTGCTCGTGGGGATTGGGACTGGAGGAATTGGGATTTGAGCTGTTGTCAGCGTGATCGCGCCACATGAACACGATGGTTCTGTTGATGTGGATGATCTTAATCAGTATCACAGAAGGCATCCTCCTCTGGCCGCGCTAAGTGGATGCATACCCATATCATCGCATTGTCGTTGTCGGATCGCGAAGGGAAGGGATCCCAGGGATCCCTGGTATTGTAGAGGTGTGCGTCAGATGCTTAATTTAAATTACCCGAGGGGCGGGAAGACGAGCGAGCAGCGAGTCTGCGAGCACAGCGCACAGCATGAGTAGCTGCGATTTGACACCTCGACTGACAGCTGGAATTGGGGAAAATTATTGAGCGCACTGGAACACGAGGGCGCCCATTAGATGACTCGGCCGTAAAAGCAGAGACCTAAAGAGCGTCCCTCTGCTAAAGACCTGTGTCCGGGGCACACACAGTTGGATCTTGGATCTTGGAGATGGAGCTGGCACTGGAGTTGTGAACAGAGCAGACCACTAATTTATTCCACATAAATTAGTCGTATAATTAAAATGTTTATACAAGAACTGCTGCTGCTGCTGTTGCTGCTGCTATTGCAGCCCCAAACGATGCCACAAAAGAGATAATCAAATATTTTGTAACTCAATCCGCCCATCAGTTGAGTTCAGTTCGGTGCCGGAATAGCATCAGCATCTCAATTGCCATGAAACTCAAGCTTTTTAATTATTATTGTGCACAGTGTGCTGCAGCAGCCCCCCCGGACTTATAAATATCTCGTTAATCGGCCTTCGGAGGGTTCCGTTTTTTGGTCCAGCTCGTACGTAACTTAACCATTAATAATTTCAGAATCATGTCTTTTGTCGCCAAAACATTTACCGCAACGAAATGAACATAAAACTGTCATATGTTTGATGACTTTATATTTATGAAGGCCAAAAATGTTGATCGCCAGCAAAAACCAGTTGTTTTTACGATCGCGAATTATGATGAATTCATATTCGATATTTCAGATTCGAAATCGGAGACGAAGAAGGAGAGTCCCAGAAATATGAACGTCTCCTGTCGGAGAACACACAGGCGGTACGTGCTTTACATTTGAAATGATGTCAAGTCAGGCGCACTAATTGATCGCTTTCGAGCGTGGAATCCTTGGCGAAAGGCATCCGAGAGACAGCCACATCCACATCATTGTCCACCAGATCGATCTGGGCCCAGTGCCCATGTCCCTTGTCAAAGAACTAGATTACCGCGTCCTGTCCAAACATCGCAGTCGTCCGCCGATGGCCCATGCCCATCACTACCTACCTGTCCGGGAGTAATTTCTGTTCGGCCGCGCTCCACATTTCCCCATACTGTTCCCATTCACTTAAGATTTATTAATTTATGTTGTCTTCGTTCGGCTTGGTCCTCTTAAGCCTCCTCCTTCTCCTCCTTCTCCTACTCAAACTCAAACCCAAACTCATACTCATACTCATAATAACGATGTCCCGAGTCGCCGCAGAAAAAAAATACACCATAAAACACGAGTAGAAACATCCAAAGTCGAACGTATGAGAATATTTATTGTCTTCCACCAAAGTACAACTTGTACAAATGTATATAAATTCCATTGTTTTAAATTATAAACGGGTTCTCCTAAATGAATTGGTATAAATATGAGCATCTGACAGAATGGCTTGTTAAGTCTTGTTGCGACTGCGAGCAGAAAAAAAGAAATAAATATACCAGCCTTTGGGTTTCTATCTTGTTTCGAAAATCTTTGGTTTGGTTTTTTAATAAAGAAAAATGTTTCTATTTAATTCTAATGGTTCTGGTTCTTTTTTGGCAAGAATTTATTTGTTTTTTATAAGCAAACAGTGGCAGGGATTAGCCAAAACATAATGTCGTGGGTGGAAAATATTTCAAATATAAATTAGATACTTAAATCTAGTGTCTATAAAAATATTTAATTTATTCATTTACCTAACTCTTAATTAAATTTAATATCAACAACATTTTTTCCTATTTTATATAACCCTTAAAATTACCACCTTGGCCAAATCTCCTATTGCAAGTTCACCACCTTCTACAACGTGTTAAGATTTATAAAAAACAAATGTATAAAAAACACCCTTAGCATGGTTAAAAAAATACTTTGAACGGCAAAAGAAACACAAATCACAACCTGTCCAAAAAAAAATAAAGGGGGGACTGAAAAAAAAAAGAATAAATAACATGCGGCCAGGGTTTTCGCTGAGCAGTCAAAATTGATAGCGTAATGTCAACACCGCTGTCGTCGCTGGTTACCGCTCGCCGCCGCTTACCTGGCGGATGGATGGACTAGGACGTGTCTGGTTTCCAGTCTGGCCCTGATCCCGATCCCGATCCCGATGTCGCCGTAACCGGAGAGCTGCTGACCAGCGGTTTCTGGCTCTTTCTACTGCTTTACACCGAATTCCGGTACATTTTCTCGGAACACATTTTTCCCAAGCATTTTTGCGTGGTCTCGGTCTCTCCCCATCTCATATTTATTTATGCATGTATATACCTCCTCGGAATACCTCAATTTTGGGCGAATAATAATGCTATCAGGTGGAATAAAATATATGAACGTCTTGCAGGGGTAATATTATTGCTTCCTGCAGGAATTACGGGCCGAGAATTGAATTCGTGATGAGGTTAGGTGTTAAAGTGCGGTAAACACTGGGGAAACATGCCCGGAATCCCAAACTACACGGGATGATGATCAATAATGCCCACGTTGTGAATGGGTTCACTACGAAAACCCCATTACTGCAGGTACAGTATAAGAAGTGTGTATATATTTGGGCATAAGTTTGTCTGAGGACCCCGGCTTCTCTCGGGAAACTGCCAAGGCACTTATGATTACTTTGATTATGCTGGGTCCCGGCCATTTGTAGCACGTGCTGCTGTCACAATCAATTTTATTCCCCTTTCTCCGGCACATTGTAAAGTTTTAACACTGTTCTACATTGATTACGAAAATGAAGGTTGTTTTGGGTGGCGGCAGCTTCTTAACCCCAGAGTTATGCTGCTTCCTTTGATTCGGAAACGAAACGGGGAGCACACATAGTTTTACAGAGAGAAAAATAAAGGGATTTTGAGGCAGAATTTAAATAAATAAATAAAATTTAAATAATTTTGTTTTATATTTTAGATATTTTCTATTATCCCTTTTGTAGCATACAATTTAATTTTTTAGAAAAATTTAAATAAAATTTATAACATATCGACGCATTTTCGCGAAAGTATCGTATGTCGCTTTTTTTCGAAATTGAGATTTTAATGCAAAATTGTTAGGCACCCAATGTCTCACTACCCTGTGAAATATTATAACTGAAAACCTTATAGTTCCGATAAAAATTAAGTTTCAATTTTGTCTTTTCTATAGTGCTTCCTAAGAGATTAAAGCACAAAAAAGCTTCTCCTGTAAAATTGGATTTTTCGAC